TGAGTGACAGTGACAAAGGTTAGAGAGAGCCAGGCTTGGAATTTATAGGTGTGTCTGCACTGGCTGATCTCATTTATGAGCAGGTAGCACAGAATCAAATGGTAGGAAGGTGAAAGGACTCAAAATCATACGGATTTCACATTCTAGCATCAATTAATGGGGACAGATACCCTATGACAAGGGAAAGGAGGCCTTGAGGACTTGCTATCTGCATCTAGATGTTGTGAGCACATGGGCAGGAGCCAGGGAAAGATGGATTGTCAGAGATTATTATTCAAATGGACTTTAGGAAGTGCTGCCTGGCTCAAGAGAATGAATGTTGGTAAGAGACCAAGCCACAGGAATGACACATTATTTCTACTCTCAAAACACAAAAGCCAAAATCAAAAAAGAAAGAAGAAAACACAGGGCAAGACACAGAGAGGAAAGCAAGCAAGCATAGATCCTCTTGGAAAAATAGGACAGATTTGTGCATACTTAGAAAAAAGAAGATAACTCCATATTGCTTCCATATTCCTAAGAAAAATGCCCTTAGCACTTCCTTTCATAAGAAACTGTAGGTGTTTCTTTCCACCTGTCATTTTTTTAAACAAGAGAAGCCTCAATATTGTTCAAACCAGTACTGTTCAAAATACTGTTGATCAAGAGTCAACAAGGCCACATTCGAGTTTTAGCCCCGGGGCTTGGAGATTTTGCCCTCCAAATTGGACAGACTGTCATTAGGGGGAAGGGCTAAGGGGAAAGGGAGAAAAACCCAGTTTCCTTATCTGTCTTATTGGCTTCACTCATCTTTTTTCCTAGATAAGTATTCTGTCCCCATTTGATCACAGACAGCACCAGATGGGACAGCAAATGGGTCACTCTGGTAGGGTGTGCCCTGAATCACCAGGGTTCTCAGTCCATTCCTAGAGACCTTGTCTCTTCCTTCATCCTGTGGCCTAGCTTTCCACAACACCCCCTTCCCCAAGCTGCCCACAGTAAAGCCAATACTTTCTAGAATAGTTGTCAAAGGGAGTCACCAAATTCAGCTGCCACCCAAACAAAGGTGGGACTAGAAGAGAGGTCGGCTCCAAAGGACAGCAACAGGAAGGAAGCTTCTCTCAGCTGCTCTGGGCCAGGGCCTACTGCCATCTGCAGCGTGGGGTGGGGGTGAGGGATGGATTTGGATTCACACTAGAGCACACAGATTTCCCTCCCAAGAAAGGATGGCCTGTTCTGGATCGGTCAGGAGGGAGGAAGCCTCAACATGGCACATAAAGCAGAGAGCTATAGTAGGGCCATGGGATCGGTCTCTTCTTCCGGTATTGCTCCATTTAGTGCAGTTTCCCCTTGCCCCATGAGATGAGGAGAATTAACAGTTCAGGCCTAGGTCACATCAGCCACCTTCCTAGTGCTTATGGGTAATAGCTACAAGAAAGAACAGCACAGCATCTTTCCATCACTGAAGAGATTTCTATTGAGCATACGTCTAAGATCCAAACTCTACTGTCTGTAAGCACTATGATCGTGTGACAATTACTAATCCTCTCTGAACCCTGAGCCCTCCTCTGTGAAATGGGGTTTCAAATAGCCACCTAACAGAAATGGCATCACATTGAAATCAGTTGGTACCACTCTCCCACCTGCAGCATGAATTTGGTAGATGGCAGGGAATATTGCTGCTCTTCTGATTTTCTGATGGACACTGTTAAGGATAGAATCAATGCTTCCACCACAAATTTCAGAGCTTGTGAAAGCAGCCATTATTGACAGGACAAAGCAAGAGTGCCATGCTAAAACAGGCCCAAGAGGTCGCAATCTGACTCAGAGGAGTGAGAAATGTGCTGTTAGTCATTCTTGAAGCTAGAAAACCTCATTTGGTGGGAGGATGAGGGGCTTTTCTTTTTCCTTCCTTCGTTCATTGCTTCCTCTTCCTCCTCTCTTTCTCCCTTTCCTACTCTCCCTCTTCCCACCTCTCTTGGTGTCTGTCAACCTTGCTGTCTTTCTTTATCACTAAACTCTTCAATACCTGGAACAGCCAACCTAATGACATTAGACTTCAGGGATTTTTTCCCACCTAGAAATATGCCCAAGAAATCTTGAGACATTCTTGTTAATTCTTTCCACCCTGACTTGCATATATGCTAAATATAACCCAGCCCAGAACAGTTGTACAAACCTGGATACAGCCTAACAGGACAGCTGATTGCAGTCTGGTCAGGAAATCTATGAGGAGAAGTGGTGAGGAAAATGAGGAGAGTGTCAAGTGTGAGGTTTTATTTTAACTCACCAGGAACATGTTCTTCAGTTGGGAAGATGCTACCCGAGAAGCCCTTTAGCAAAAGGAAGCTGGCACAGACCCATGGAACAGCAGTTAAGAGAGCAAGCACAAATCAGTCAATGCAGGGCAGAGGCCAGGTCAGGCCAGGGGGGGTATGCTTTTGAAGTTTGTATTCATAACGGTGGTGGGCAGAGCTGAAGAGAAGGTGAAGGACATTTAAGCCCATGGGAACTGGCAGCAATGCTGGCATTTAGAAGCCAAAGATAAGGGTGAAAGCTGTGTGCTCAGATGTCTGTGTATGATGAGCCAATTTTGCCCTCATGTTCATCTGAAGAAGCAGTTCCGTCTTTCACATGGATTTTAGGAAGAATCAGCTCTCTATGGGTCAGAGATCCGGAGAGTTGAATAACGGACTTGCAGTAGCAGTCCCAGAACTCTTGCTCATGTTTTACTTTGTTGTTTTTCCTTCCCAGTGCAGGAAGCATAACAAAGGCTACCCTTACCCAGACTTCTTAATATTGTAGATAAGCAATAAGTTTTTATAAGTTTTATAAGGATGGTGATTGAAGAGATAGTTCAGGGGTTAAGAGAGTGTACTGCTCTTTCAGAGGACCAGAATTTGGTTCCCAGCACCCATGGTGGGCAGCTCACACTGCCTGTAACACCAGATTGAGGAGGATCTGATGTCTATGGGCACGTTCACTTACATGCACATACTCACATATATACATAAAAACTAAAAATAAATACAACTATTTTTAAATGAAGTATATAGGCTGAAGAGATAGCTCAGTCAGTAAAGTACCTGTACACAAGGATCTCAGTGTGATTCCCCAGAAGCCACATTTTCAAAAAGCAGAACTTGGTGGAGTGCACTTGCAATCCCAGTGCTGGAAAGGTAATGACTTGGGGATTCCTAAGGCTCACTATTCAGCTAACCATCTTGCCTGATTACCTCAGGTTAATGAGAGAGTGTGCCTCAAAAGCCAAGGTGGGTAATAGCTAAGGTTGTCTTCTGGCCTCTTATACATATACAAACAAAGACAATAATACACACATATGCATTCATGTACTCACACATGTGAGTGAGTATGCCTCACACTCACACACCCAGGTACACATACACACAAAAATAGATTACAAAAGGATTAAACAACTTTTGATTTTGCTAAATAAAGATGTTAAAACCTAAATGTCACTGGCTATCTTGACCTCAGGTTCACCTACTTAGCTACTAAGAGTGTACACCAAGCTGGAGGTCCTGGAGTGGGTGTGTCATATCTGGAAGGGCAGAAAAGAATCCTCTTTCTCTTCTCCAAATTAAAAAAAATTCAAGCTATAAGCCACAAAAGATCTTAAGACAAATGATCTCACACTGTTATTTTCACATTCAATAATTTCATATTCAGTGTGAAGGGTTAGTGGGGTTTGTTTTTCATGAAGAAAAACTGCAGCCAGAGCTAATTGCTTAATCTGAAATGTATCCATGCATTTCTCAGATGAGATGTTGGAAAGGAAACAGTAATGTTGCTGAGTTTTAACAAAGAGGAGAGAAATGTATTACAAAAAATAAATGCAAATTAGTAGGAATTATAGTCCTGTATGGTCCTCAAAGTCCTGCTATAAATAGTTAAAAGAAGGAGCTTTCCTTGACATTTGTCTTGTTTCATTTATAAAATACAAAAAGAAATTCATCAGTGCAGGTTCAGCCTATTCCCAGTCATTGATTTGTTAGCCAATCAATGGCTTCTGTGATCTGAAAATAATAATAATAATACAGGTTTCTATGACCCTTCCCAAGTGAGGCATGTTCAGCTAACCTTAATAAAGGGGAAAACATCAAGCACCATCTGGAAAACACTCTTCCGGACTCACAAAAGATAGTGGCAGCCTTTGCCCAACCTGCTATAAATAAGTGTCTCAGAAAAAGAAAAAAACCCTGCTATTTTCAAATCTGTTTCTACTTAATACAGCTGCAATAGAGTTTATTTAGCCTTTTCCTATAGCAGGAAGACTGTTTGCATTTTTATGACAAGGGTCTAAATGTTTTTCACAGCTATTTCCATTGCCATTATTTTGAAGAACAACATACCACTCAGACCTGTCTGTTTGCTTCTGGAGCATACACCAGTGGCCCCAGTGGCCTCTGCACCATGCCACCAGCCTCCAAAGCCCAGATTTATGATCCTGCTTCCTCTCCCAATGTTGCAGCCATCACCCAAATCCTGATCTGCAAGTGCTGGCAGCTGAGAATGACCAAGTGTCTCCTGCTGAAAATCAATTATTTATCTGCCTGGGTCCAACACATTGTGGATCACTGCCAGCTTATTGCTTTTCCCTTTCCAACAACAGGGAGGACTCAAGACACTCTTTAATCGAGGCTAGGACTCACCATGGAAGGTGGACTGCTGCCTTGGCAAGTGACTAAATGTTCACCTTATCCCCCCCCCCCACTGGCTAAGCCTGCCAGGGAGTTCTTCTGTATGTGATACTCTGAATACCACAGATACTCTGTGGAAAAGATCAGCCTGATTGGGGTTCCTACAACATACACCGCCCTCCACTGATATTTCCTTTCTGAACACCTGTCCTTGTACTAATATAACTGTACAATCTTTCCACTCTAAAAGACTAGTATGGCCAGGGTGAGCTGGGAACATTTGCCTTGTGTGCAAAAGGATCCACATCTCTGTCTTTCCCTTTCTACACATGGGCAGGACATGGATCATCCCCACATTACCTTTCTGGAACATGCATGTCTCTTATTTCTAGTCTTTCAAGGGACCACCAAAAATGTGTCTCAGTGTTTGTCTTTGTGATAATTTGTCACCTCCTCCTGCTATGCAAAGGGCCTCTGCTGGCATCTTTTTTCCTGGAGAAGTTTCCCAAACAGAGGTGTTCCTGCACAGAAATAAACATGTGACGATTAGGGGGCCACCTCAATCTGAAGGTCTGGTAAATGTGGCAAATTCATCACCTTTCCACCACTGGTTTTTGTTCTCAATAAAAATACTAGAAAACACAGGGTGTAGTGGAGGGCAGAAGGGATGTTGCAGTCTGAAATGTATCTGGTGGAGCAGAGTGCTCCTAAGTCCACTAAAGGGCTGAATCCATTGGCTCTGACTTAAGCTGCTCTAGGAAAAATAACAGTGGAGGGAGTGAAAGTTAAAGATGTCTACTGGCTTTGATGTCATACCTGGAATTAGGTGTGTATGAAAAATAATTAGGGAGAATAAGTCTGTTCTCTCATACAGAAAAGCTGCGGGTCCCCCACAACATGCCCTCCAATTACCTATGGCTTATTTCATTGCCTGCCTTTAAAAGTTTTCTTTATACCCACCCCAGTATTAGAAATCATATAGATCCTTCCACAATTAAATCAGGTACATAATCACTTCCAACTACTAATTAATCACCCCTTATGAATTGTATATATAGGATTCAGAGGAGGGATATTGTATCTTTGATGATTTCAAATTAAATTTTCTGAAAACCACAAATTACTTATTAAATTTTGCTCTAGACCAGCAGTTCTCAACTGTGGTGATTTTCTCACAAATGGGCCATTTGGCAGAGTTCAGGAAAGAGGAAGGGGTGATGCTACTGGTCTCTGATGAATAGATGTCAGAAAGATTTCTGAACATCCTACAGTACACAGAACAGTCTCCCACAACAAAGACTGGCCTGCCCCCAAATGTCAATAGGGCCAATATGGAGAAATTGCTCCAGATAAAACCAAACATTTAGCTTTTAACACACATAATCTAGGCAGTCAACAAAAGGGGAAATTTATTTTCTTTAAAAAAATCTAAGGTAGTTTATATATGCCTTGATTAAGGGCATATGTACTGCTTTTTCCACATACATGAAAAAGACTCTCAGCCAGTATACTGGAACAATAAAGAAATATGACAATGGGGCATTTAAATGCATATTACACCAGTCTAAATGGGTGTGAATTAATATCTCATAAAATAAAATGATTGTCTAGTTATGTTCCATACAAAATCAAAATCAATATATTGTGTCTCACTTAAACTGCAATTAGGGTTGTTTTCTTTTAAAACAACTCAAACAAGGAAATGACATTCTTTCTCAATTGTTTTTTAAGCTGGAAACACCCTTTTGAGCATGAGGCATCAAACAAACAAACAGACAAAATCCTTTCTTAAAAGCCAATTTTTCTGGGTCATTATAAGCTTCTGGAATCATTTCATTTAGTCATATAGATTCAGTCATTCTTTAGTGACCAAACCATGCAGCTCATTCTCTTGGTTATGCTTGTCTGGCTGTGCAAATGCCCTCAAAACTCAGATGATGAATGACATACTATGGCCCCATTGTACCAATTAATAGTAGCAAAAGAATTCCACACGACAAGATAGGACGTTCTGCCTGGTGTGTGTGATGGTGGGAAGATGGAGGAGGGTTCTTGCAGCCAATTTGCTTTCAAAGGATTGTAAGAGCAGGTGCTGTGATTCCTTTAATTCTTGAACGTTCTATGTGGATCTGCAGTGACCCCAGCTTGGGGGTAGGGAATGATTAGGGAAAAAAAGCCCATGCTCTTCAACTTAGCTTGGATTTGGGAGGTTGAATCCCTAAAGACAAGCGGGCTGACAGATACATTGTTTGTACTCTTCCAGACCTCTGTTTCTTTCTATAAATTATAAGGCAAAAGTGGCCATACATACAAAATCAAAAATAATATCAACAACAAAAAATGCCCCATCACACCCAGTCTTGGCTGCCAGCAAGGCTTGCTCTGCTGCTGAAAAAGAACAGTTGCTCTAGTGCAGCTGGAGGAGCTTTTCCAGGGAACTGGTAATACCCTGGCTGTTAATGAATTATTTTTCGCCAGAATGTCGGATTCTTCCTGTGCTCCAGTAAACAGTCTGCTTCTGCCATGGGAAACAAAACCAGCTCCTTCCAAGGAGCCTGAGGAGGTCAGCCAAGGGTTCCCTGTGGGGGCAGCGCCCTCAGGAGCCAGAGCCACAAGCGCCTGACCTATAAATCACCACAATCCCAAGTTCATTATTCCATCCCTCTCCCATCTATTCATGCTTTGCCTAGCACCCAGGGAAGGGCCCAGGAATGTATGGCTGTGGCTGAGATGATCCCACAGTGCCAGATGAAATCCTTCTCCCACCCCTGGGGGTTCCTTCCCTCAGGTAACCTTATCTGTAGTACTATTGGGGTATGCGATATTGGGTTTCTTTGAAATAATTCTGTGTTCCTTATAGAAACTATGTCTTTGTTGTTGCTTGCATGAAGCTGTCAAAAGATAACTGAGTGTGGATCTTCTTTTTTTTCTTTAAAGATGTTGCCAGCTCCTTACTAGCCCATTTTCAGCATGATGCCCCGAGCACAAATCCCCAAGAAAGATAATATTTTCAGCTATTACAACGACAGGTGGGAGAAAAAAATCAGTGGTGTGGCCAGGAGATAACTCCTTGAGAGGATGAGGGCATAGGCTGGGTGCTGTAGAGAAGTAAAGCCAAAAGAAAGGGAAGAGGCCATTTTGTTCAAGCTAGCCTAGCCTTTAGTCCCCCACCCTGCCTTGATTTCTGCATGAGGGTTTTGCAGCCCACACATCTCAGAGCAGGATCACAGGCATGCCTAGTGGGGAAGTCCCTAAATGGCACCTTAGTTACTAAAAATCACGATTGTCTAATGTCAGCCACTGTGCCTACTGAGTCAGCACAAGGCCTCCCATCTGTCATGGAGACAGAAGTGTTTGGCTCCCCAGCCCCCAGCACATTTGCAGGTGCTATGACATCATGAAATTGGTGCCTGATAGAAACAGATAAGCAATCTACAGTGTACTAGTAGTCACATTAAAAATTTAAAATAAACAAGCAATATTAATTTTATATCATTGAACCAATGTATCCAAAATATCATCTCACCATGATATCACAATATAATTTCAAGTGATGAATGAGCTGTTTTGCATTCTTTTTGTACTCTTTGAATTCCAGTATATATATTACACTTACAGCATACCTTATTTGGGACAAGCTTCCTTTCAAGCACTCCATAGCTATGTGTACCAATGGCTTTTGTATAGTACAGTACTCATAAAGAATGTTTCCCTGACCATTAAGAAATCCTATTAGTGCTGAGCTAAAAGGCTAAAAGGCCATGGGAAGGGGGAGTGACAGGCATAAAAAGGATGTGATGCAAAATTCTCCTAAGTATGAAATTGTTAAAGCTAATGATAATAAAAATCGAAACTATGAAGGTTTAGGTGTTCTATAAGGCCAGGGGAGAATAAAATGGACATTTAAGAAATGCACAGGAAAGATGCATGATCTGAAGGTTTGTGTGTGTGTCCCCCAACCACAAATTCATATGTTAAAATCTTAATCCCCAAAGTGATGGGATTAGCGGGTGGGGGCTACCCAGGAAATGATTAGATCATGAGAGCAGAACCTTCATCAAAGGGATTATTGCCTTCATAAAAGAGACCTCAGAGGGCAGGAAAGGTAAATCAGTGGTAGAGCACTTTCCTAACATGTACAAGGCCCTGATTCAGTCTCTAGCACCAGAGAGGAGAGAGGAAGACAGAGACAGAAACAGAGAGAAACAGAGAATTCGCTTATGCCTTCTGCCATGGGAGAGCACAATAAGAAGTCACTTCTATGAATTTTAAAAGGCCTGCATCAGACAGTGAGTTTGATAGCAAATTGATTTTGGTTTTCCCAGTCTCTGGAACTGATAAATTTCCATTGCCCAAAGGCATGTAGTTTAGCCAGTTTGGTTACAGGAGCTCAAACTGACTAAACCAGATCAATTGCTCACATTGCTGCCCCACAGCTTCAAGGAAACCGGTAAGTACCACCACCATTGCTCTAGGCAACTGCTGGTTGAACCGCCTTCATTTAGCTATTCTGATTTGTTCAAGACAGGGGCTGTGAAACAAAATCACCAAAGCCAAGTACATCTTCCAATAACAACTGTGGGTTAGCAATCTAATTTGTTGAATCAGATACAGAAACATGATCAAATTACATGTGCCTGTGTCTGTGCCTGTGCATTTGTGTGTGTTTTGTATGTTCTTGGCAAAAAAGAGAAGGGTCATGTGTGAAATCGAGAAGTACTAATGTAGCTGCCAAAATGCCCTTCTCCCCAGCTGCCATCAGAGGACAGAGGAGCAATAGACTCAAGAGGCTCATCAAAAATTGTGAGTCACAAAGGAGAGGCCATGAGTGCAGAGAGAATGCAATGATGGGCACCCAGGCAGATGATCAGGTGCGAGGGAGAAGTGGTAATCAGAGGCATTCTCCAAAGACAAAGAGCTTCCAACTCTACAGCAAGGATGTCAGCCTGATCCCCAAATCAAGCTTAATTCAGAAGCCCACACAGGCTTTTGTGCATGGGGAAAGTGCAATTAGCCATCTTTGCTCTCGTAGAAAGCCTCATTCTCTGAGGTCTTCCTCATGTTCCCATCAGAGGAGTGGCAGTCAGAAGCCCCTCCTTTCTGGAATCAAATATTTGTTTGGTGGCTCTGGAATCACTAGGGTCTAAAGGCTATCATAAGATTGGATGGAGGTTAAGAGACTTGCATAGTAAATCTCGTCTTCATACTTATTTGGTATTTGAGAGTAAAGAAGCAAAACTCCCTCACCTACAATTTGATCCCACCATGGACCTTGGTCATCTCAGTCCCCTTATCTGCATAATGCAATTAATAGTTCTGGCCTCACAGTCTCACATAGGTGTTGTAAGGATTAAACCTGGGCTCCTGAGAATGGGCTCAAACTGGGGCATGACACTAAAAGCTATGAGGCTGCATCAAACACGCAGACCTCTGGATTTTTCCTGCTCCGGCTCCATTGACAATGATTTATGGCTCCCTCTCCACCATTGTTCACTCCATCAACTCCATCATTTGGTAACTCAACTTTCATTTATCTAGTAACAGTAGGTTTTGGGGTTCTTAAATAAAAGGGAAGGGCAGCATCTGAAGTAGTCAGGAACTGGTTCAGATCTACTATGGCACATATGTGTGCAATACAGGTCCACTAGTAGCCCCCTCTTCAACACACACACACACACACACACACACACACACACACACACACACACACACTAACTAGGTACCATATTTTATGAAGGAGGTATGGGTTGAGGGCTCTGGACTTTGGGAGAAATAAATAAGGGGCTTTGAGCAGGGGCAGAAAGACATATTGCATCTTAAATCATAACCACCAAAGTCTGGAATCAGATAAGGACCGACAATTTCTCTGAAAATTATGTTAAATAATGCTTCACTGGGGTCACAGGGTCACTGAGAAGGTTTGCCACATAGTCAGTGCCTGGCAGACAGGGCAAAAACAAATGTGAGCTTCCTTTCCAATTTATTTCACTCCACTTCTCTATTCCCCACTAATCTAAGGATAGGGGAGGAGCCAGAGAACAGACACTTGCTATTTTCTTCCTGTGGCTTCAGAGGAAGCCATGTGTGTGGCTGTCTGCACATACAGAATAGCTCCATTTCTGCTCAAGGGATTTGGGAGACCAGTACTTTCCCCAGTCCCTGGGTCAATGGAGCTAGAATCTTCTGGTGTCTGACATTGGAGCTCTCCAGGCCACACCTGCTCATGCACTTCCAAACCTAAGGGCGTTTTGTTTGTTGGTTGGTTGTGTTTTGTTTGTTTGTTTGCTTGCTTGCTTTGTTTTCTGCTCTGTTTTGCCTCTGTTTTCCACATAAAATTTTTGCAGTTGGTTTTATACTTCTTGCCTAAGTGCCCATCAATCTGCTCTCAAGCAAGCAACTGGCACCACCTGGGAAACAGCTTTCTCATTTGTTCCAGGGATGAGCAGGTTTTCCTGGACCAAAGCTCTCTGCAGGTGGCCCTGGATTCTTTGAATAATAAAGGAGCCCCCTTTGATAGGCCTGAATGATCCCCTGAGTTGGTGCCAGACAGCCAGTGCCTCTCTGCCCCACAAGTTTCTATCTGATGGCTCAAAGTGCCAGGGCCACCTTGGACATGCACTCAGTGGGCATCTGTCACACTGAGAAGGGAATAGCCATTGGCAGAATACAGTGTATCTGTCGGGGTGGGGGCTCTCTGGAATGGAGGAGTAGCTTCCCTGAGTTCCTAAGGACCAGAGAAGGTGTGATGCTACCTGGCTTGATTCTGTACCTTCGGGTCCATCCTTGCTTCTGCAAGTGGCACGGCTCTCTATGTTGCCTTTTTGGAAGAAAATTTGAAGAAAAAGCAGAGTGGGTGCATAGTGCCACCTTGGGGAGGAGGCTCCCTGCCCGCCAACCTCTTTGCTGTCCCCCGGTATACTACTATAACAAAGGCTCTGCCACAACACGTTTCAAAGTTAACAGAAGTCTCTTGGTCCACCCGCACACAATTGCGAAGATTAAAAAGGATACAAGGAAAGATAGCTAGAAAACGGTGGGAGAAAGACCCCGGGAAAGCAAAGAAAATCTTGCCTGATGCGGAAGAGGCCAAGAACTGTTTTCTCCCCGCTGGCTGCTTTTCTCTGTGTTCCGAAGAGAACCTCCCAAAATTGGCTAAATAAAGGGATCACACCAGAGGTTGCGAGATAATGCTAAACCAACAAAAACAAAGACCAAACGAAACAGAGCGAGCCATGAGAATACGCGGTTATCAAAACTTTGTTTGGCTGTATCTATTTATCATCGCTGCACACCCGGGCTCTGCGGAATATCATTCTGTTGATGTCACTTATCCTCAGCAAAATATTTACATATCCTTAAAAAAACGCCAGATGAGGGAGGCTGGCCCTCTGGCTGTCTCGTGCTGATTGCCAGGTCCGGGGTAGCCCAGAAGGTTGAGGGCACAAGGGTGGGTGGTCCCAGCGGATACAGGCAAGAGCTACGAAGAGTTGTAAGAACGTGGCCCCCCAAATGCTGTACCCTGCCCAGCCCTTCCACTTCTCTACCTGACTCTGCAAGAAGCAGCCACATCCCCGATATGGTGTCAGCGCCTTCTCCTCCTCCCCTCCCTTTCTCATTGATTAAGTTCTCAAACCATTGTTAGCTGGGTTGCCTCCTTTAAAAATGGGCTAAATTCATTTGGCTTCTGTCTTCCACAAGAAGAATATTCATAAAAGTTTGGCAGTCAGAAGGGAGGCTGATTGAGTGTCATGGGGTGGGTGACAATTCGCTCTTTCCAAAGCCGCTGTCTTCCTTCATGCCCTATCTGTCTCTCCACCCATCCGTCGTGCCCCAAACCTACTCCACCGACTTCGGATAGGGAAACACAAAGCAGCAGCTGTTTGGCAACATTTCGACCCCTCGACAACAACTGTGGTGGGATGCCTTTTCCCCACCCAGGCGGAGCTTATCCTGAACAATAGTCGGGCTTTAAATGGCAAACAAGCAAACACACAGAGCACAACCCCAGCCCCGTAAAAAATCTAAGGCGCAGAGAGGCAATAACTCCCTCCGCAGCAAAAGGCGCCACTGAAATGCACGCATTTAAAAAATTAAAAAATAATAAAACGGCAGCGAGAACGCTGCTTGGTGCCTAACATGGCAGAAAGCCGGAGCTGGTGCGGCCACCCTGGGTCTGGGCATTGGGGGGCACAGAAGCTCCTGGGGTGCCGACGCGCACTCACCCTGCTTCAGCGGGATGCGGGACTCGCTGAGCGGCACAAAGAGGATCCCAGCACGATCTGGCAAAACCCAACTTTCCACCCTGCTCGCCAGGGCCGCCAGATACGTCAACAGAATCCATCTTTCGAAGGGCCTGGAAGGCGCCGGGTTTTCCTGGCTGGGGCAGAATGGCAGATACCGAGACAAGCCCGGTGTGGTGCCCGGGCACGGAGTGCGCCGCGCGCCACCCTCTGTGCCCAGTGCCAGAGCGGGTGGCGGCCTGAAACCCACTTCGGGAGGCCCCCGCCCCACCACCGGCGCCGCCTTCCTGACTGTCCCCGGCCGGGCCGGCCAGTGCGTGGCGCCGGCTAGCGGGAACCCGGCCTGGGCGCGCTGCACAAGTGGTGGCCTCGGCCCGCGTCCCCGCCCTCGCCCAGCCCTCCCCGCTGGCCCCGGCCTCCGGGCGCCGTCCTGCCCCCGGGAGCAGGCAGGCCCCTCCCCGGGTGCCGGGCCCCACCAGGCGCGCCCAGCCCAGCATGCCCCCTGCGGGAAGTCCCGGTGGCAAGTCCGCCTGGGGAGGGCGGGGGTGACCCTGACCCGCACCAGGACGCTGTGGCCGCTACCTGGCGATCGGGGCCGCCGCCTCCAGGAAGCCACGGGGTGGTCGCCGGTGTGGGAACTCTCTTGGTTTGGCCTCACCGCTGGCCGCCTGAAGGGGGTGCACAGCAGTGGGAGCCTCCGCAGCCGCTGTCACCAAGCTGCTGTGGCTGCCGCCGCCGCCGCCGCCGCTGCCGCTGCCGCTGCCGCTTGTGCTTTTGCGCGTGTGCCTGTGTCGGGGAGAGTGTGTGTTTGCGTGCAGCGCCTGGCCTTTACTATATACACCAAGGGGTGGGAGGAGGCGGGGAAGGGGAGGGCTTGGAGGAGGTGGCAGAGGAAGGGGAGCAGGAGGGGGGCGAAAGGGTACCCAAGGAGGCGGCGGCAGAGGAGGGACAGGTGATCTCGCCCACGGGGAGGGCGTGGTTGTGGGCGGTGCGAGGTGACAGAAGGCTGGGGAGCTGGAGGCGAGGTGTCTGTGTGTGTGTGTGTGTGTGTGTGTGTGTGTGTGTGTGTGTGTGTGTGTGTGTGTGTGTGTGTGTGTGTGAAAGCCCAAAGGAGTAGGGACCCTGCTGCTTCCAGGAGATCTGGGGACCATTCTAGACTTTCTGATGAAAAAGAGGGAAAGTGTTTTGGGTGATGGAAACAGGGGCATGAGGAAGGAGCAGCCAGCTACCAACCTAATGTGCCCCAGGAGATCAGGGTCTAGGCAGAAATGGTGCTCCCAAGGCAGGACAAAATTAGTCCAGCAACAGAATATCATTTCCAACTAACATGTGAGTCACATATTAATCTAATGTAGTATATACCTAGTGTCTGATGGATACTGGGCTATATAAAAGCTGGAGTTACAGACATTATGAACACGTCGTTGGTGACCCCTAAATAAAAAGTATGAATCAACAATATTATTGATTGTCGACATCTATTTAAGTCTAAATCCTTTAAAATCTTATAAGACAAAGGGAGTAACTGCCTTGGTTTAATTAATCCTCAAAGATTAGGGGATTTTATTGTCCCCCTATTCAATCAAAACAAGATGATGATATATGAGAGAGAATGATATAGCAGAAATTACTTTAACCAGTTCAGATAACAGTATGAATCTTATAGTCCTTTGTGTACTCAAACTCTTCACGCCTGAAAATTGTGGGCATCGTGGCATTTCTCTATAGAATTTGGGATGACCACAGAATAAAAAATACCCAGAGAGCTTCCACCTTACCCACCTGCTCATAACTAGTATGGGAACCTGAATTTGCATTTGAAAGGCTTCCATCTAACCATGATGTGATGCAAACCTAATGTAGTATCCAGTGCCAAACTATAACCTCTGTGGGTACTTTGTGGACTTTCTCCATAAAAAGATATTAGAAGTTATACTACAATTGCATTTGTGGTAAGTTGAATAACATGTATTCAGTTTCTTCAACTAAAGTATCTTTTTGTACTGATTTTAAGTCCTTCGACTATTTCTGAGTGTACCCCCCCAAAACTTTACTTCCACAAACACTGCAGTGCTGGTGGGAGTCTTCCTACTAGTACTCATACTTCATACTATATTGCTCCTTTTTGAAGGAGTTGATGATACAGGGACAGAAAGATATATAATCCAAAATTTGGGAGATGATACTAATTATCAGTATACATACATCACTTTTGTCAGACAGGATATGGGAGTTCCTATTGGCCTAGAGTAAACAGAACCTGTGGAAATATTTACCTATGAACGTGTCTTCAGTCATTTGGCTGGGGACTTTCTCTCATCAGAGTTCTTGGATCAGATATGTGAAATCTCAGCTGCCAGAACCTGGCTTGAATATAACTAAATAAAGACACAGCTGGGCAATTATAATTAAGAAAGTCCATGGATGAAAGACCCATAAGTGTTTTCTGTGCGATGTGGGGGGATGTGTGTATAAGGAAGAGACTTGATATATATCCTGTAAGGCAATTACTAGCCTGTTCCTTTTGTTGGCTTCATCACAATGCTGGGGGAATGTTTGATCCTTGCTGGCACTTGTGATTCATAAAGTTACCCTTTGAGATCTATGTATATATATTTTTTTTCAAAGATGATTATATTGATTCAGACCAATACGAAATAAACAGGCATCATGATTCCTATTCCCAAAGAAATGTACAGTGGCATCTTTCTACATTTCCACTGAGATTCCCTTTGCAGAGAAAAGAGAGGAGGGGGGTCCATTTATAAAGGGCTGGTCTAATTTGGAGTTAAAGGGTGCTTTGGGAAAGAAATGGGGCATTATTGTGGAAGGAGTGCTAAGGGAGAGGACATGCAAAACAGCAAGAAACAGTAACATCCAGAGTGGGTCAAGGGTGTCTTTTGAGATCTGTAATTTTAATATTTGGTAACTCTAAATAACAAATATACATTTCTATAAATACAGTATAAATTAATTATATAAATGTATAATTAAAATTTAAATAATTAACATAAATCACTATTTATTTAAACATCTGTACATACTCATTACCCAGTCACTGAGTTAAAAAATGTCAGTTAGTGAGATGGTTAACACATGATTGCTGACCCAAATCTGCAAACTGATGATAGAATATTATACACAATAAGCAATGAAATAGGCTGGGTAAACTTCTACCAGGAAGGGTGAGTACAGTGTGGGACAGAGAAGTCAAGAAAGGTTGAGCACACATGATGACAGTTACAGAATGCTCAGCGATGAACAGGAGTTCTCTGAAATGGGGGAAGGTATTATAAATCGAGGGAACAGCAGGTACAAATGCTTTAATATAAACATGTTCTAGACACTGTAAATATTTTGTGAATCTGGAATGGTGGCTGCATAGAATAGCAGAGAAGGAGGAAAAAGGAAACTAGGTGTCACTTGAGGTCCCTGGTCTGTCCTATAAAGGAAACCATTAAAGGGTGTTGAGCCATGAAGCAATGAAGATGTAGATTGAAGACTGACATGTTTGTTGTTTGATGTTAATGGACGACGGACAGGGTTCGAGAGATTGGCAGCTGGGAGACAAAATGAGACTGTTTATATTTGCAATATTGAGGGATCAAGTCAAGTTAGTGTAGGCACCAATGAAGAGAAGGAACTGGAGCCAAGTAGTTCTCAGGATATAGAAGCAACTAATTATTGGGAGGGAGAGAAAGTGAAGTGTTTGATTCATGTGTCAGGGTGGGTGGGGTGTACTCAGTGAGATACAGGTTCATGGGAAACAGATCTGGGGCTAGAGATGATAAATGAATTGCAGTCCTGAGACAGGGATTGGAATGTATAAAGTTGATTTGGAGCTGAACAGAACACCAGTGGAGTAGTACCTAAGGCAAACTGAGATGTCAGCATAAGAGTGTGTAATTTCCACCCTGGGAGACTGAAGCTTAAACCCATGACCAAACTCTTGGGTGCTCAATGAAGAGGTGAAAAAGGTTGGCGAGGAGTGTTGATTTTCTGGCAGATTGAGAGAGGCCTAGTCAAGTATAGTGAGATACTGGTAGCTGCATATATAAGGAACACGTAGAAATAGTAACAGCCAATGACTGGTTGGAAGGCCCACCACTGTCTGTCTCAGGGTGCTCTGGGTAACTCGGCTTGAGTCATGTTTCTGCTGAGTAGCCTCATTGGCAGGTGCAGAGTTCAAAATCTAAGCAGGAGACCAAGAGTATAAAGTTGTTAGGTCCTGGGTGTAGTTTGAGACAGTGGAAACTAGTGAGCTAGCTCTGTAGAAGTTATGTGAATTTATCTGACAACCAAAAGTCTTACCCTATATGACCTATATGAATACACATGAGATTCTCAAGGGGTTAATGAAAGCCGTTAAAGTATAGATGATAGAATGTTGGTTGGTGAGAGTAAAGTATTTGTACTTTCTTACTTATTGAAGGCAAGTGATGTACCTAATGCTGGTGTTGTGTTTTCAAATGATTTGGGGCTGAACAATGTTCACTAGGTACATGTGTCAGGTGGTTATTTGGCAGCACAACCACAATACAAAGTGATAAATGGTGAAAAGTGCAAGAGTCAATTAAAATACAAAGGGTTGAAGTCAATACAAGCTTAGAGAAAGCAGATAGAAACCATTCAGAGAAACAGATCAGTACAAATGACAGTTTTATATGATGAATAGTCAGAGCCCATGGGCAAAGGGGAAATGTGTTGACATTTGGTAATGGTGACAGAATGGTGATATTTAAGGTGGTCTGTATGGGGTAGAGGTTGAGGGCTTCAGTATTCATCTATATTATGCACTTTGGATAAGATTTTCAAAGTCTAGAACAAAGGTTCTGTCAGTTTGTCCTTTGCATAGGTGATTGATAAGCACATGCTAAACAATGGCTTTGTAACACTAAGCTATATGCTAGAATTCAAAGAATAATAATGTAACATTCTTGTCCTGTGTTGAAATCTCTCTGGGTCCAGGTGGAGCTCTGTATGATATCATGATCAACATAACAGTTCCTTCCATTTCACAGGGATTTTTGAGAAAGTATCATGATTAAAAAATCAATATCATTACAGAAGGGTTTGCTCATGGAAGGGCTGTTTTGTAGTCTCAGTTTCTCTTGTCTAGCAGAACATTAATGGTCAGATGCTCATCCCTCTCCTGTAAAACTTAGGCGCTTTAGAATTTGATCCTAGCTTTAGGGTGGATCTGTTTGATCTAAGGAAAACTGCATCCCTCCTGCTATAAGATGGGTCAAATAGATAAAAGTAGAGATTTGCTGAGGGCTTATGGGTAAGTCCTTACATTCTAGGAGATTATCTCTTCCTTTCCCAATGGATGTGAGGATAGTAT